CATTTAAGTCCTTTATCCATTTTGAGTTTATTTTTGTGTATGGTGTAAGTTGGCAGTCTAGTTTCATTTTTTCTGCATGTATCTGTCCAATTTTCCTAACACCATTTATTGAAGAGACTGTCTTGACTCCATTGTATGTTCTTGCCTCCTTTGTCAAATATTAATTGAGCATACTGGTTCGGGTCGATTTCGGGGCTCTCTAATCTGCTTAAGAGTTTTTATAGAGTTTCAATTCCTAGTCTCTCCCTCCTTTCCCAGAGGTCATTGAGAAAGTCCAGCCTTCTCATCAATTGGTCTTTCTGGTAACTATCTCCATCCTGAGTGTATGTAGAAACCCTGTGCTAAGTTATTTTATGAGCATAAACTCAGCTCTTATTATAAGGGTCTTCTTTTGTTGTTGTTAATCCTGACCCAAGGATACTTGTTCCATTAATTTTTTGAGAGAGAGTAAGTGAAGGGTAGAGACAGAGAGAAATATCGATTTGAGAGAGACACATTCATTGGCTGTCTCCTGCATGTGCCCTGACCAGGGCTAGGGATTGAGCCTGCAACCAAAGTACCCATGCCCTTGATCAGAATCAAACCTACAACCCTTAAGTTGGCAGGTTGATGCTCTTACCACTAAGCAAAACCAGCTCGGGCTGGAAGGCTTTTTAAAAAATATATAATAAAAGATACTCATATCACTTAGGAAATTACAAGGGTTTTATAAGCAGTGTCAAGAACTGTGGACAAAGAGCTGCCGGGGTTCTTGTCCCAGCATCAAGAAGGGTTCAGGAATCTGGAAAAGGCTGTGTGTAGATTTAATAGGAATCCAGAGACTAATAAAGAGTCCAGAGACGAGATATAATTTTGAAAGGCATTGGGGGTCAGAGGAACTTAGCTAAAGGAGCTAAGATCCAAGATCTTAGGTCTAAGGTCTTAGGTTCTTTCTTAGGTTCTCTCCGTCCCCAGGACCCCATGCTTTTTATTAACACAATTTCTCCTGAGGTGAGGCAGAGATATACACTTCAAAGGGTCAGGGATTTGTACAGAGTCCATTGTTAGAATGGAAGAATTAGCCTACGGCTGTTCAGGTATTTGGCCAGTAGGAGGCAATAACATGTAGATTAAGATGCCTTTTAACTGTCTGGGAGCCACAATCAGTTTCCTATTCAGGTTTGGGGAAGTGCCTTCAGCCATTCCCAACAGGTGACTACATGTGTGACTCAACCCTGTTGGATCCCCAGGTCTCATCAACCTTTTGATGAAACTCTCGAAATTATGACATGCTGGAATTGGTCTCCGGCAAGAGCAAATGTATTTCTTAATCTACAACACAGAATTGCCACTAAATAGTTACTCACATGAAAGCATTTTATAAAAAGTTTTATTTCATACTAAGATTATGAGAGATTACAGAATTTACTGTTCTCCTTTTTCCCTAGAGCTCAACCAAGTTGACGATCCTCTGCATTATCACTTGCAAAATCGAAGCCTTCAGAATAGTGTGGAACAATGCTGTGAACATAATATATCTACAAATGTTAATCAAAGTGAAGGTCATTTCCTATTAAAGCAAAATCATGATATGTTTGAGATTTGTGAGAAATGTTTAAAATCAAATTCATGTT